TCTGGACTTCCCTCTAGTGCACACATGAGCTCTATCCCCATCTATTATCATATTCCTGGACTCTGCTCTTGGTTACAGCAATCCCAAAGGCCAAGACTCACTTTCCTCATTGACTGGTTCCAGCTCCTTCCAGTTCTGCCTGTCAGTGTGTCACCTGTCAGTTGACTTCTGACTCCAACTTCCTTTCTTCCTTCTCTGGCCCACCTCCACAGCCCCTGAAACCCTGCTCTAGCCACTGGGGAAGACTAGAAGAAAGATGGGGAGAACACATGCTTGCAAGAGTGCTTGTAAAAAAGTCAAGATGGTGGCCACAATGATGCAATTGAAGTGCCACGAAAATTTGTGCCTTTTAATAAAATTTGTTAATTGGAAAAGATGTTACCAGACTCCTCCTGAATTTTGCTAACATGACTGTCCTACAGTAGATGACACAGAGGCAGATTATTTCTATATGTCTTTGCTCCCATCTAGAGGTCACCACTGACTTCTGCAGCCTCAAAACAAATATATCCTGAAGTTTCAGATTGGCTCCAGATTTCAGACTAGCAGAACCCAGAGCAGACAAACAGGTATGGATTCTGCTCTTCCTGAAAACCAGCCAGTCCAGAATACTCAATGAAGAGTGGCCATGGGGAGCTGTCATGCAAGTGTCCCCAAAGTAATGATCATTAAACACTGATGTCAATGGCTCAAGGAACTTCAGAGGGTGCCCATGATCTGAAAGTGGGTTTGGGTCTTAGAACAAGTGGTGGTGACACCCTCAGAACACCGAGTCTGTTATATCAGTCTGTCTCCTAAAGAGACACAGTGCCAGACTCAGCCACACCACTAGCTTAGCACAGTGACCACTGGCACCTCCAGCTATGCAGAGAACCTGAAGGCAAGTAGAACGATGAAGCAACTACCATGCCAATGCATTTTGAGAAATCCTGTGCTGCAAGAGTTGCTTTGTAGCTTCCAAACATCAATTTGGGGGAAGTTCATACAGTATATTCTGGGGCTGCCATTTTACATATTGTATCTGTATATTGTTTACTTGTTGTTTGATGGCTTTCTTTGTTTTTTCTTCTATTTGATTTATTGTATGTTTATGTTATACACTGCCCAGAGTCACAATGTCTGAGTTGGGCAGCCTTATAAATCTTGAAATAAATAAATAAATAAAAGAAAATAGAATTGTGACCTTCACAAGGAACTCTGGTTCTTTTTTTTTTTTAATTATTTATTGTAAAATTTTACAACACTAAAAAATAATATAAACTAAGGTCGGAAATAAAGAGAAAAATAGGAAACAGAGGAAATACAATGTACAAAGAAAAAAGAAAATAATAAAAAGAACAGAGCAAGAAGAAAGATTTTAAAAAAAGAATATTTAAAGAAGTGACTCCCAGTCTTCCTTGCAACAAGTACAAGCAAATTAATATTTTCTTGTCTCCTATACACTTCTTCCCATAATCTCCCCTTTATCCAATCACAACTGCAAAAACCGTTGTCATTTCTGCTCAGGTATCAGCAGCAAGTCTATAAAGGGTTTCCAGAATTTTATAAAGATAGTTCTTATTTAAGCCTGATCAAATAAATTAGCTTCATATTCCTTCAATTTGCCTCTAACAGTTTTAACCTTTAATTCATCAAGTTCTTGTCATAGGGTTGAATCTCCATTCAAACTTTCTTCTACCATCTCAAAGATTTGTTCAAGGCTCTTCTTCAAGGAATTCTTCAAGGAATTTCTTCTTTTGCAAATTCAATAATAAGTTGTTGTCCAGGACATTTTTCATCTCTTGATTTGTCATTTGTATCTTTTTTCTTATAGTCCACAGTTTCTTCATTGTCCAAGATTTCTACATCATTTGGGATTTTCTCTTCTACATTTTCTACATCTTTTATGTCTTTAAATTGTTCTTTAAAAACTTTTTCAAAAATACATAGGCAGATGTAGAAATTACTGCTGTCAATTTAGTTATATATTTCTCTTCCAGTTCTTCAAAGATCCTCTGAAATGTCTCCAGTGTCATGCCTTTATCTGTCATCTTGCAAATTTTGCTGATCTTTTCCCTGCCTGGAGCTTTAGTTCCCTCTAATGTCCCATTTCTGTATTGACAAAATCTCAAGTTTCTTTATTTTTGACTTTCCACCAATAATCTCTTTCCTTGTAGGGCTAAACAATTTACATTCCAACAAAAGTATTGTTTTGTTTTATTTACTCAATTTTTCAAAGCTCTTAGCAAAAGTCCTATTATTCCAAATTCATCTGGTCCCTTAACCCATTTAAAACTTTCTTAGATTGAATTTTTATTTAGCTTTTGCCATTTATTTTATTTCTTAAATTCTTTAACCTGTAAGTTTTCTTTTTTGGGGGGATGACATTTTACTCACCAGGTAGATTTTCAGACTTGTTATTAGAAGGCTCTTTCAACTTTAAAATAATTATGAACCCAAAAAAATGATTAGAAAGTGAGGTTAGATGAATTTAGTGTCCTTAAAGTCTCTGCCGTGGTTGAGAGCTTGATGGCTTTCCTCGTCTCCCGTTGCTCAAACCCATGGGAGAACCACTGTCCTGGAGTCTCCTCGTGAGGAGCACTGGTCTGCAGCACAAGTGGGTGAAATCTTGTCCTCTCCTTGTCCAGAGAGGCTCCAGTAGACCAAGCTTGCCGCCAGTCTGTTGGTCATTGCTCATTCAGAGACATCTAATTCACCATTTACCTCACCTGGAAGTCCACAAGGAACTCTGATTCTGTATGAGAATTAGAAACCATAGTGCTTTTATTCACAAAGGAATACTCTCACAGGGCTCACCCTTATGTCCTGCTTGCTGCAACATCAAGATGCTTTAGGAACCATGGGGGGGGGGGCATCACCTTCATCTCATTCACAGTCCACTATTGAGGCATCCTAAAGTCTAGCACAAGGGAAATATCAACTGGGTGAACAAGGAAATGCTTGCACCTCCCTCCATCCTGCACAAGGTTTCTGAGGACTGATAGTCATTTTCCTTTTGCACTTATATGTTACTTTTTTCTTTTAAAAGGAGAGAAGAGGAGATCCGCATGCCTTGCTCACAGTCACTCTTGCCTTAGTCACCTCCCATTTGGATTACTGCAATGCGCTCTACATGGGGCTGCCCTTGAAGACCATCTGGAAGCTGAAACTGGTCCAGAATGCAGTGGCACACACAGTTTGGGGGATCCCACAGTTCACCCAAGTAATCCCATCACTGTGTGAGCTGCACTGGTTTCTAGTTGCTTTTCTGGGTACAATTCAATGCTGGTTCTCACCTTTACATCCCTACATGGCACAGGACCAGGTTACTTATGGGACTGCCTCTCCCTGAAGGTATCTGTCTGTTCTACTAGGGCACATTCCAGCTCCCCTCCCTTAACTGTTGCCACCTGATGGGAGGCATGGCTTCCCCATCGCTAACCCAGTTCTTTGGAACAGCCTCCCACTGGAGATCAAAGGGACCCCAACCTTTTAGCCTTCCAGAGGGCTATGAAGACCTGGCTCTTCTCTCAAGTATTGGACTAGGATGGAGTGTTGAACTGTGAGGATGTTTGGTCTGGTTCCTGGGAAGAAGGGTAATTATGTTTTATGGATTGTTGTGAGCCACCTAGAGTCATTTTATGAGATAGCTGACTATATAAATCCTATAAATAAAGAAATAAATAAAGAAATAAATTCTAGGAGGATATTGATCTTACAATTTCCAGGAGATTCAGGGATTGATATTCCCCTGGGAATAAATAAACAAAAATCAGAGCATGATTTAAAAAATAAACAAACATGGCCATGAAACACTGGGGGGTGGGATAGACCCCTCCAAAGCCCCTCAATCTCCACTGCATCATATAGTCCAGAGATTGCTTGATGTGCTTTTCCTGCCAGTAGGAATGCTGGATGTCAGGGGAGAGGGTGTCATGGAATCTATGAATCATGGCCTGACACTGCCCAGGAGCAAATAGGGGCACAGAAAAGTTCAGCCATGGTGGCAGCATGATTTATATCTAGAGCAGCTCTCCCTCCCAGCCCCAACATTAAAACAGCTCCTTCTGGTCTTTAGAAAACCCCTTAAAATATGATCATTTCATCAGTCTACAGGGCATAGAATGTTCTCTCTAGCAAGGAACGGTATTTTGATTTCTGGTCCATTAAGTGTGGTATTCCTGGTTTTTACATTTTTACATTTTGTTTCCTACTGAATTGGCTTCTAGTGATTATTTATACTGTTATGTTAATTTTATTCTTCAGCTGAATGTATGAAGATGAGGAATTGTATGCTGCTCAGAATCACATTTGACTGTAGTATAAGTAAGTAAATAAATAACATTTTGGCTGGTGTGGGTCTTCCGGGCTGTGTGGCCGCGGTCTTGAAGTCTTGTTTCCTAACGTTTCGCCAGCGCCTGTGACCGGCATCTTCGGAGTGCAGGAGCACAGACAGGAGCAGTTCTGAGAAGATGCTCTGAAGATGCCGGTCACAGGCGCTGGCGAAACGTTAGGAAACAAGACTTCAAGACCACGGCCACACAGCCCGGAAGACCCACACCAGCCATCGTATGCCGGCCGTGAAAGCCTTCGACAATACAAATAACATTTTCTCTGTAACCAATGTCAAGACTCTTGAGAATAGCTGAATCTTGTCTGGATTGGAAGTAAAAAAGGGATGGCCCTTAGATGGGAGATCTTCAGAGAATCTGAGGGTTGGAGGCTAGATGGGGAAGCAAAATAACAACAACAACAGAACAACCACAACAACTTACTTTCTGGAGATAGGCAATAGTAATAGGCTGGGGGGATTGGGGAATTATAGTACAAAACATCAGGAGGAATCCAGGTAGACACAAGGCTGCTTTATTATATGGAGAAAGTACAGTTCACCAAGATTTACTCAATGAGTAGAGTGCCTTTTTGACTTTTCAAAGGACATGGTTAAAAAAAATGGTGTAATTTCAGAATTGTTATCTGTGGCAGTTGAATATGGAACCCATTGTGTTTCATGAGAGAAGTGCAGGAATAACTACAGGCAAGTAAATTGAAGGTAAGCTATTTCCTTACTGCAGAAAACTTCATCAAAAGGAAAATTAAAGAAACTTAACTGTTGTACACATGGAGCCCCTAGCATGACAAAGTATTAGGACTTCCTGGACTGAATTTAATTCATAGCAAGAGATCAACCTTAGTCAAAAGCAAGAAAAGAAACATTTACATGTTTAATAAGTATAGTAATTTTACAGAGTTTATGATGATGTTTGGTGGGGCACAGCACAGAGTTTAAAAGGATGTGGATGCATCGACATTGCTACTATAGGCTTGTCATTGAGCTCCTTCTCTCCTTCAGGCAGCTGGAAGCTGAAGGTCTTCAACAGGCTGGTTAGCATAATGAAGATCTCAATTCTTGCCAACTGTTCTCCCAAACACACACGAGACCCTAGAGAAGAGACATGCGAAGGGCAGAAAGCAAGTAATAGGCTAAGACACACGGTCCTGTAAGGAATTTGATTTACATCTGAGAAAGTGGGAGAGACTGTGGGAAGGAGGTGGGAGAGGAAGAGTTCAGTGGGTGCAAGAAGAGGCAGCACAGCCCAAATCTGGGGGCCATTGGAACGAAATATTTTAAAGAGACTCTGCCTTACCTGGCTTATCATAGGTCTGCCCTGAACTTTACTCTTACAGCTTTCAAGATCATGTTGTTGTTGTTCACCTCTGACTAGTACTAAAGATGCTTTTCTGAAATCTTGTGGTTCTCACTTTTTTGGTTTGCCAGCTATGTGGGTAAATAATAGGTTCATAACAGCCCAAGGACATTTTCCTACATTAAAGTTTATTCCTTCAGTCATTGAATTGCCTGAAAAGTATGCTGACATAAGTTAACTTTCCCCAATAGTTAAGCTTTAAGATGTCTCAGTAACAAGACCACCAAGTGTAAGTAAAACACCAACCCCATGACTGATAACTGACTCAATGGTGTATGCATATCTGTCCAGCCTCCCCTGCAAAGCAAGGCAAATTACTCTAGAGAGCCGTTTCCTGCAAACAAAGGCAAAGGAGTGTGCCTGTATCAGCCTAATGTGGCCATAGGAGTTGAGCAGAATCCAGCCACTGTCTACATCATCACCAGCATTGTCGATGAAGTATCATAGATTGTATCTACAGCAAGATTAATGTCAGGAGAAGAGGGAAAACACTACTTTAGAAGTGGAACAGCTAAATGTGAATTGAAGCTGCCCCATTGTGGTCCGGGGAAGAGATGGGGGTGACATCATGTGAAGATCACCTTATAAAATGGTTAATGGAGCTTCTTCAAGCTGCAGAGGGATGTGAGGATGAGGCATATGGGGAGGAAAAAAAGCCTTATATGCAAAATTGCCCTTGGTGGTTGGGAAGGAATAGAAGGCTTGCTACCATGGCAATACCAAGAACAGCTAGCAAATGTGTCATTCTTAATTTTGTGAAGTGAAAAAAAGATGTATATTTTAGCACAAACATGCTGGCTGGCTGCTGAATTCCAATCAGCTTAGAGTCATCCATGCTCCGCTAATGGCAAGAAAGGCTGGGATTTTCTTCTAGATTTGAGAACATGTAAACATCATCAAGTTCATGGCATTCTAATATCAAAAAAGATCTTAAAATATTCAGAATGACCTGGTACGACCTTGGTTTTGTTTCAAATTGTGGCTCAGCCTACTGTACAAAGCCAGCTGATTTGATTATGGATTCAAATACTGCATGAATCCCCCAAATAGGTTATCTCAATGACCAAATTGTGCCAACCTACCAGCCTATGAAGTTTGTCCTGACCCTGATGTTAAGCACATTGACTCAGATTAAGTCATTAGCTGAAGGGAGCCACGCGTGTGCCAGGTGTGGCTCCCTTTTGTCCTTTCCATTGGTGGCTACTAGGCTCTGGCCATGAAGGTTGTTAAAGTGCACACTGGAGAACAAATGGGGTGGTGCAAAATGGTGGACCCAGAAGTCACCTAGCTCCTCTTGTTGTGAACCTGGCTGTCATGTGAACTGTGATGTTTCTTGATAAGCTCTGGTTCCATTCAAGGATTGAAACTTAACCAGAAATGAGTGCCATCAGGGTTATTCACTGTCTTCCTTAGAAACTGCATGCAGAACTGTGGAGATGCCCTCCTCTGACTTCAATAGCAGAACTGAATGAGGATTTTTTTAGATACAGTAAATGCCTAGAAACCAGAAAAAGTCTGCAGTTCTAGCTCTTCTCTTTCTCTTTGCATGTTTCTGACTTTCCTGCTCTGGAGATTTGTTGCTAAACTGTTGGAACAATTCAAGGAGTGTTTTCTCTAATTAACTGTAAGAGGTTTACACTTGGCTCCTCCCAAACTACTGGCTACACAAAATGAAGGATAAATTGAGAGGACTGGCAGCCACCAACTGAAAGGATCTCTCCCAAAGATGGTGGCAGAGTAGATTCTTGAGCAGAAGGCCTGTCCATCTGCTGTGCTTGTGTTGTAGGAGCCTAGTCTCCTCCTTTCTTAAGAAAGCTACCCATAGCATCTTAGCTATCCATTTTCTCCAAAGCCCCAGACTGACAATGAAATTGCAATGCAAGGGTCTATTTACAATCTAAAGATATCAAATATTCCTTTGCTCATCACAGATGGAAGCCAGAAACAGACTTTAGGCTCTTTCAGTTATCGAACAGGGAGACAGAAGGGCTCAGGTAAGAAAATGACTTCGTGGTCCAGCCAACCAATGCAAAGAGGAGGAATGGTTTCAGCTTTCTGAAAAGAAGTCAAATAGCCTTGAAACCACACAGAAAAACAGATCTATAAATTACAAATTGCTTTGGACTTAAGGATTCACCTTTTCCAAATGGCAGAAATGCTTCTTGAGCCTTAAAATTCCCATCTTTGTCCAAAAAGTGATTTGGGTTGAATTTTTCAGGTGTCTCCCATTCTTCAGGATCCAAAAGGACAGAGCGCAGATCTGGCACAATAATGGTCCCCTGCAAGGAAAAAGACAAACAGAGCTGATTCACAGCATGAAGTAACCAAAAAAATTCAAAGTATTTTGGGAAAACACTTGTAGATGGTATAACTTCATATACTATTTTTTTTTTCCTTTCTGAAAGCTCTTTCAAGATGGTGGTTCATTTGCAGACTAGCATCCTTCTTACTCCACTAAAAGAAAGGCCTGGATGGATGTTTATCACTCCAAGATGCCCCTAGAAGAGACTAGCTGGGAACGAAATGTGCTATCCGTAACCTGAATTCCAGTCCAGCTTTTAGTCTCTTGTGTTCTTTCTAGAAGAAATACAAAACATTAAGTGGATTGCCTTTAAAATTGTCAACAGTTATAACTTCAAGCCCCTAAAAACATCCTGTATTTATGTGATTCTGGCCAATTTAATTGACATTAGTATCCTGGCAGATATATACCTTTGGAATATGGAAACCTTCCATCTTCACATCCTTTATACTTTGTCTGGGAACCCCAAATAATAATATGTATTTTAGACGCTGGATCTCATGAATCACAGCATTGGTGTAGGGCAGCTTCTTCCGCTCTTGATAGGAAATTGAGTCTGAGGAACCAAAGACATCTTCAATCTCCTTACAGACCTTTTCTGGAGAAAAAAAAAACAAAAACTACAAATTATAATGGTATATTTTATTTTAAAAATGATGAGTATAATTGACATATATCTATGTTGTGTCAAATTATTTCCTAAGAGCCTGTTCATGATTGAGTACTAAGTACATTGCCAGAGTTTCATGACTATTACAAATCTGAATCTGTGTGAAAATTGGATGCAATTCAGTGTCGTTGAAATTAACTCAGAAATTTTAATACATTTCAGTCAATGAATCAATTAAAACAGCGTCCAATACAATTTCACGATTTGGCCTGAAGCATTCATTCACTTTGGGGAATTGATCCTATTAGGTGATTCGATAGAGTCACCTTCAAATGTTATCTCTGAATCAAACCTTTGTATAGCCCTAGTCCTTACCCGGCCTTACACTAGTTACTTTCCTTGTTGTCTTCAGCAGGAGCTCAGAAATGATCACTAGTGTTGCATGAATGTAAATTTTAAAAAATTAGAATGTGGATCTCAAAGATATGGATGGAGTAAAAACCAGCTCTAAATCTGAAAGCAATGGAGATTTTTGCATTTAAAGTTTTTTGACATCTTATCTGTACTGATTTTCATTTTTTGTTAATAACTAACATTTTATTTTGATTGTTTATGTGCCGTCAAGTTGCTGTTGACTCTTAGTGACTCTATGGATAGATTTTTCGCCAGAATGATCTGTGCTCAGTCTGGCCCTTCAGGTCTTCCAATGGTCCATTTGTTGCAGCTGTAATTGATGTCATCCACCTTCCTGTTGCTCATCCATTTTTTCTCTTTCCTCCCATCTTTCCAAGCATTACAGCCTTCTCAAGGGAGCTGGGATATTGCATCTCATGTCCAAAATATGATAATTTGAGCCTGGTAATTTGTGCCTTGAATGAGAACTCTGAATTGATTTGTTCTATGTTCCATTTGTTTGTTTTCTGGGCTATCCATGTTATTCTCAGGAGTCTTCTCCATCACCAAAGTTTAAAAGCATCAATACCCTTTCTATCATGCTTCTTCAAAGTTCAACTTCCATTTCTGTAGAGGGGCATGAGAAAAAACAATGTCTGCATGATTCTGATCCTTGTACATATAGAGATGTCATGGCATCTTCATGTCTTTTCCAAGGTTTTCATGGATATGCTTCTGGGGGTTAGTCTGTAGCATATTTCTTAACTGTTGGTTAATTTACTGTTGGTAGTTAATCCTAAAAATAGGAACTATCCACAACTTCAGTATATTCATTATCAGTTCTAATCCCGGTTGCTGTTGTCATTAGTTTGCCTTTATATTTCATCGTATTCATTTGCATTTTCAGCTATTGGAGTATAGTGCAGATTATTGATTTTCTTCCTCCAATTGTAAAACCACTGTCATGTTGCAATCCAGCTTTCCTAAAGATGATGGAGATGATGACAATGATGATTTATTCAATTTGTATGACTGCCCATTCCATCTATGTGACTCTGGGCAGCTCACAAATATATATTCAGCAAATAAGTTGAATAAATAAGAAGAGAATATACCGCCTGCCTGCCTGCCTGCCTGCCTGCCTGCCTGCCTGCCTGCCTGCCTGCCTGCCTGCCTGCCTTCCTCTCTGCTTCACCCTGTTCCATCTGAACTGTGGCTTGCTGACCTATATAGATTTTGCAATGAGGACAATGAGATGTTCTGGGATTCCCACATCCCTAAGGATACTCCACAATTGACATGGTTAACACAGTCAGAGGCCTTTCTTTAATCAATGAAGCATGTATCATTTTCTTTTTAGTATTCTTTGGCATCCTCAATTATCCAGCATGTATCAGCAATAATATCTCTTGTTCCTCAACCTTTTCTAGAGCCAGCTTGAATATCAGGGGGTGGGGATGTTAAATGATCTTAAGCATTATTTTGCTAGGATATAAAATTATGGATATTGTACAATAGTTTGCACCCTCCTTTAAGTCCCCCTGGTAATATGTAGACTGACCTCTTCCAGACTAGTGACCACTGTGTCATTCCTCAGTTTTGGTGGCATAGTTTGCTTGCCTATTTCTTTAAATGTTCCATCAATTCCTATAACCTTCCAACTTTGTAATGACCAGAGTGGGCTCTGACTTCATTTCCTAGTATTGGGAATTCTTGTAAGTACAGAATATCTTTTAAGGAATCTTGAATGTTGACATCTTTATTGTATAGAATTTCAGGATACCAATTCAAGGGTGGAACCTCCTTCTCAGTTCAAAGATATTTTAGAAGACTTTGTTTTTCTATGTCTTGGATGTATCTGCCTGTCTTTACTTGTTGCCTCTTCTAGCAGCTGACTGAAATGCCTTCTTAAGATCTAAGATCCTCAGCTCTTCTTCAGCAGCATGTTCAGTGCCATCCGATCTGAGATGACCATCATCCAGCACTGTGTCATCGATCTTTTAATATTTTCTATCCATGTGGTTTTCTTGGTAAAAACACAGGAGCGGTTTACTGTTGCCTTCTCCCATGCATAAGAAGCAAAGGCTTTGCCATTTTCATTAAAGTGATCATCCATATCTTACTATGTTGCTGCTGCCTGATGTACAGTACTGTAGTTGCCTGTTAGCTTCAGCTGGGCAGCTGAGATGACCTTCATGCATTGGATGACCCTGGCGGGAGTAGATACTCTTGATGGACACTCCTGCAATCCTTCATTTATCCCTCCCAGAACACCCACCACCACCACCAGGAAGCTAAGGCAAATGTAAAAATATCTTTGTTAGGATTAAATTATCCAGAGAATGTAAATATAGAAGTACTTTTTTGACATTGTAATAAAATGTTTGCCGTCAAGTCCTGCTGTACTGCCAAAATCTACATACAAAAATCATTATGAAGAATAAATTCAGCTTTTCATTCAATAGCCCTTAAAAATTCAAAGAATTCCGGTCTATTACACTGATGGAAAATGGCCCTTGCTCCCCTGAAATAGATTTCTCTCACCTTGGATATTGGGATGATTTGCCAGGATGAGCAGTATCCACATCATGGTAACAGAGGTTGTTTCTGTTCCAGCAAGAAAAAGGTCATGAACGCATTGAGCCAAGTTCTCTTCATTATAGGTAGTATTGGAGTCATGCTTGCTCTGATGTTTAAATGAGAAATTCAGTTTGTTAATTTTATTACAAATCAGATTTGCAGGTTTATTTCTTCCTTGCACAAAGACCTCTGTATATAGTGATCACATCTAACAGTCTATGAATCAGAGTACTACCTGGAGTGGTAGATTCATCTCTTATGAATATTTAGCAAAAATTCACAATCAAGATTTCTATATATTCTCACATATGGGGCTGTTCACAGGAAAAGTGAGAAAATTTGTGGGAAAAAAAAGTAGGCCTCAAAGATCAGATAAGTTTGCTTAAAAAAGATCAGATATGTTTGCTTAAAAGTCTTGTTTGGTTAAGAAAGGTTTTTAGTTGGAAACAACTCAGTTCTTATCCCCAGTATCTATAAAGGGATTGAATTATATAAGGCAGTCAATATAAATTTACTTATATTGGATCTGAATGCAAATCAGGCAATCAATATACATCTACCTATACGGGATCAGAATGCAAAAATGCTATGAGGTAAAGATACAGACAGGAAAAAAAGTGTGTCTCTTACTCTTCAGCAGCATCAAGGAATGCAATGATTCTTTGCACAACTAGTATTGAACTAAAGCAATACATACTTTTTCTATTTGAAATAGATAGTAATCAATGAAATCCTGTGGTTCATGCAGGGCGTGATAATTCTTGTGCTTCTCCATTTGTTGCTTTGCAAATGAAATGACAAATTCTGAATAGTATAGTGTCTTCTTGTGAGACCCCGGGAGCTTTTTCATCAACCCCGGGAACAACTCATATAACTAAAAACAAGGAAACAGCAAAGTTCTGTCATTGTCTAAAGGAGTTTTGGTAAAATAGTGGCACTGTTCATGTGGCATTATTTTCATTGTTTATTTATGTAGTTTATTAAATTGTCTGAGTTGGATTTATGAAACAAATTAAACCATAAATTAAGTAAATGTACTGGATTTCCACAATGCACAAAAATAAAATGAAGCTGTTTAGTTCGTGGTCCAGTGTGCTATGCAAATATAGCCCTTCCCTCAACAATGAGCATGGCACATATTTAAGACTGGTGGGCATCCCAAATGAAGTCTGACTTAGTTTAGAATTCTCTAAGACCTGGCACATTTCTATCACAGTGTGCAAAGAGAACTGGGAAGCATGACTGTCACAGTTAAAATGACGAATGAACGTTCTTATAGGAAAAACAGATTTCTGTAGAACATGCACCTTTCCTTTCTGAAAGCATAAATGAACGTTTATTGGGATAATGTCCAATTACAGGTAGCCTTGTCCTATGACCATTCATTCAGTGTCCGTTCGAAGTTGTGACTGTGCTGAACAAATGGTGGTTACGACCGGTCCTCGGAGTTCTGGCCATCCCAGCACCTCCACGATCACGTAATTGTGATCTGGGCACTTGGCAACCGGTTTGCACTTACATTTACAACCTTCCTTGCTGGCTTCCCCAGAAAGTCAATGGGAAAACTGGCAGGGAAGGTCGCAGGTTGTTGGGGTAAGTCTTCCTCATCTCTGCACCCTCTCCCAGCCCCTCTGTACTCGCAGTGTGCTGGCCACTTGTGCTCCCCCATGCAGCCTTGTGCACCCTTGCGCACCCTCCCGACCCTCACACACCCTCCCCAAACCTCAATGTGCCTCTTGCACACCTCTTGCACCCTTCTGCACCCTCCCTGACCCTTCCTAAACCCTCAGACACCCTTCCTGATCTTCACCACAACTCTTGCACACCCCCTTGCACTTTCAAGGATCCTTCTGCACCCCCAACCTTCATGCACCCCCTGACCTGTGCCACACCCCTTGCACTCTCCCTTGCACTCTTGCACACCCTCACTGACCCATGCCACACCCTTGTGCACCCTCCCCAACCCACACTGCAACTTCATGCACCTTACCTGAGCTGCCCCACAATTCTTGCATTCTTGGATGCTTGTGCACCCTCTCATGAGTGTGCAAACTCTGACACCCATGCTGCACCCTCACACACACTCCCTGACCCACATGCTGAATTTGTTTCACATCTTTCTTGAATCTGTGAATTCTTTTTAAGGAGCAGCTCAGAAATTATTCTGAACTGTTAACATCAAGGATCAGGCGATTTAGGTGAAGAATCATTGTTACATCTTTATCTCATCTTTTATTTATTTATCTATTTATTTGTCCATTTCAAGGCTACTTGATTCCTGGACAACTGTGGGTGGCTTACAAATAAGGCAATGCTCACGGAACATTTTTTTCTTCCAAAGTCCCTAGACTGGCATGGATGGTCTCTCCTGAAATGTGGTCCAAGTCTCAGGATGAATTTAATCTTGGCCTCCTCCAAACTTCGAATACTCTGATTGTAACTGGGTTCACATAATATCTTTCATCAGGTCAGTTAAAGACCTGGCAGGTATATTCACTTAATATCACATATTAAGCTTGGTTAGGTTTTTTTTGTCCCTTACCTAATTGTCTGAACTCAGAGCATTTGCTTTGCTAAACTTTCTTCAAAGTATTATACACCTCCAATGACATTATTTATTGTGTAAATTTGATAATCGGCCTAAGTATTTGGATGATGGAGCTCAAAAGTTGAAAATGTTGATAGGTGGATCTGCCTGATTAGCAGGAAAGATTACTCACCAAATGAAAAAAGCTGGCTGAGAATTTTACCATGTAATTAATTGCTTCAATTAATTTCAGGAAGTTTTCATCTTCAAGAGCAAACTGATGTCCAAAAGTCAAAGCACATATCACATTAGTGACTGCATTAGTTAATGGAATGAAAGGATCAAAAGGCTGCCCTGAAAATGAAGATACATTAAGAATAAGACATGCTCCTCATGTTAATACTTCCAGCTGGATGTGGGAAGACAACCGGGCTCTTCAGTAATTTATTTTTAAAGTAAAGCTCAAATAGAATAGCAGCCAGAGGTGAAGAGAAGGGAGGGGACAGGAGAATCACCACCATGTACAGGCAGGAGAAGTAGGCAGAAGCAGCAGACTTGCCCAAATTTAGCCCTGTTGCTTTGGGACAATGAGTAGCTCACCCTGGTGGGGAGGAGCTAACCGATTCTCAGTGGGGTGAGGGATATATCTACCTCTCCAGGGAGATATGTGCACATGCATACAAATACGCACCCCTGCATATGACATCACTGTAATTTTGGGGCATTTTAGTTGCGCCTACCCAAATAGTAAGAATGGCCACTAAAATCAAAGGCTGAGTTCCCATATCACAAGTTTGAATAAGCCGTGGTTGACTGAGATTCTGCAACATGCTGAAGCATAAACCTTAGCTCTGTCACCTACCCAGGTGTAGCAGCTTGGCAGGTCCTGCTACCTCCATATATATATATTCCAGGGAAATGCTTTGACCTGGGATCCTCCCCATTAGCCTGGCATGTGAGAGAGAGGGGACCACCACAGCCCATGCACCTTATTGGTATGTATAAAGGGGGGGGGGAGATAAAAATTAAATAGACCTTTGGGGCTTGTTGCACTGAGGGATGTGTCTTTAAAGGATAGAAAAACATAAAGCACGATATGAGACATTGGGCAGACCTCAGATAATATTGCTCTGTCCCTAACTCTGATGAACTCTCTGTAAACAGGTTCTAAGTTGAATAAAAACACACATTTTTCTGAACATGGACAGAGGATATATAAATATCAGAGACCATAAATTAGATTTTAATCATCTAAAAAAACGTATGCAATATTTCTAGAAAAACATGTTATAAATGACCTGATGTCTGAAGCTCCCTTTGCTTCATTTTTTCCCTAGTTCCTTGAATGTGTATTGATGTGGATGTGGGTTATACATATATACCTGTATATTTCAAATAGAGGCTGAAGAGATTGTTCTTCTCTTCCCCAAATCAGCAGACACTGCTTGCTCCTTTCATCCCAGAGTTCAGTCTGTGGATCTTCTGAAGGAACCAAAGCATTTCTGCCTGGACAGGGAGGGAGTTGGGGGGAATCTCTTGTGCTGTGTGATGCCAGCCATGTGTCAGGAAGGACCCATTCAGCACTCCTGTGCCTGGTGGGTGGCATCACAATACGAAGGGACATAGCTGATTTAATACTGCGAGTGCAAAATCATCCTTCAAGGTGAAAACAGAGGAGAGGCAGGTAGGCCAGGTTTAAAATGAAATGTGAAAGTCCCAGTGGCCAGAAGAAGCCCATTTTATAGTGATCCATAGAAGTGAAAGCTGAGGAAAGCAGGAAAAAAAATAGCAGAGTTTCCAAATTCTGTTCATTTTTTTCCTTAGAGGACAGAGGAGAAGTTGAACAACTACATGTAGTCCTTGCTAAATGACCCTAATTAGGACTAGCAACTCCACTTCTAAGCAAAGTGTTTGCTATGTGGGAAATCACGTGACCCTGACTGTGCTTTCTGGCTGGAAAGAGACAAGTCAAAACCTTCTGCTTTTGTTTGCCTTCTAACCACTGCCCTGCCCTGTCCTTTGGAGTGCTCCAGTGCCTGCTTACTGTTTTGTACACATTAATAGCAATGCAATTGCGCCATGACCTGGGGCTGGAAGCTGCAGGCGTGCTACAGAAACAGGTTACTCTCCTGGAATCCTTTTTTCTCCAATCTCTCCACTTTGGCTGGGGGCAAGGGGAGAAAAAAAGCAAGCAGTCTCTGCAGGCAATCTCTCCTTTGCCTGACCCTTTCCCACTGCTGGCATAATTGCATTGCTCTCAATGTATAGAAGAGCAAACAGCTTACTCTCTTGAAATCCCCTTCCAATCTCTCTGTTTTGTGGGGGGGGGGGGATTTTTCTCTCTCTCTCTTTTTTTGTGTATGTGAAGTGCACCCACGGCTCCCACCCTGGGCTACCAGCATGATCACATTGCTTTTGATGTGTCGAAGAGCAAACAACTTCCTTCCTTGCTATCCGTTTCTCTCCAATCTCTCTACTCTGCACGGGGGGGGGGGGGGGATTTTTCTCTCTCTCTCTTTTTTTGTGTATGTGAAGTGCACCCACGGCTCCCACCCTGGGCTACCAGCATGATCACATTGCTTTTGATGTGTCGAAGAGCAAACAACTTCCTTCCTTGCTATCCGTTTCTCTCCAATCTCTCTACTCTGCACGGGGGGGGGGGGGGGGGAGGGAGAAAAAAGCCACAGGGTCAGGCACAGGACATGCATACTGACTGTAATGTCAATCACATGACCGAGAGATGCTGCAAAGGTTGTAAATGGAGTTAAATAAGCTGTAAAGTTATTTTTTCAGTACCTTTGTAACTTTGAGTGGTTGCTGAATGAATGGTTGGTAAGTGAGGACTACCTGTATACACATGCACTATAGAACGTCCAGCCAGTAGCAGGTAACACAGCCAAACAGAAGAGGTGGGGGGAAAGAGGACCAACCTACTTCTTCATGCCATTGTCTGCCTGCTTGAGGAGTTGGCTGCTATTACTCTACTTTGTGCATCTTTGATCTCCATCTTCCTTTAAAAATGCAAATCCAACTACTTACGTTTGGGTGGCTACAGAACTTGGTGCTCTTTATGTTGTCATTATTGTATTCTGTGCATGCTCTTCATTCCGCTTTCTTTGCCAGAGGCCCATTCCACCCATTAGCTACATCTCTGGCCATGATTGTCACGTAATATTACATACCTTTTGTACGTGCAAAGACCTCTACAAGCAAGCGGGATCCTTCTTGTATCTGGTGCTCAATGCTTTTCTTTCCCATTCCCAGTTTTCGTAAAGAACCGACGCCAATGTGTCTCTGCTGCTTCCAAACATGACCATTTGAAAATATAATACCTAAGACCATCAGCAGTCAGTGAGAAATTATTGCAGAAAAAATTCATGCTAGCCAGAGTTTGACTGGAATCCTAAAAGGAGCCACATTTCCTAAAGATCATATCCTTGAGACTAGAGCTCCTCTTCCTTCAGATTTTCTAAACTCCACAGTTGATGTTCAGTCAAGTTCTCATATCTAGCCTAGTATTAAGTGACTAATCATTGGCCTACAAACATGTATCTATTTATTTAGATGATGTATATGGCTGTCCAACTCCCAAATAGCAACTCTGGGTGGAGAAACCAAAAATGAAACCAAGAAGACTCTCAATAAAGAATAACTGAGGCCAAACCCCAGCGTATTCCAGTTCTAAATCATTTCAGGATGGGCTTATTTGTTCCTCTGCCCCAGTGCCCTGAGGAAAGGCTGTGCCTCACATAACATTAGCTCTCTTGTGTTTGTTTATTAAAATCGTAGCTGGCAGCAGACATATCAATCAAAGCTAAGGACAGAAATGCTTAAAAACACATAAAAGGACCTGTGAGGGCCATTGTATCATTCACAAATGAGGAACATTCACAATTTTACATAAGACAATTCATAAAACATTATGAATGCCACAATATAATTTGCTCTCATTTTGATTTAACTATTAGTGACCTTAGTGTCATCTCCTTGCAATAAAAAGTCTTTGTGGTTTAGAACTTAGGCCTGCTGGTTATTTAATGGCTGATTCTCTGGTGGATTTGATGTGCTGATTATGCTTTCTAGTTGTCTCTCTCTTATTTTCTGCTATAATCTGGGCAATGTCTATAAAAATTGCTATGCCCCAAAAGTAGCCAAACACAATTGCAGCATTTTCAATTGGTGTCTTATCACTGGTTCCAGAAAACAGAACTGAAGCTAGTAGAAAGAATGACCATATTAATAAACAATAATAAAATCCAGTTTTGATACTTTTTCTTTCCCAGCCTTTCCATTAAAAAGTGTGGTATATAACCAGGATTGAGATGCTTAAAAAGGAAGGCACTGAAGCTGTGTAAATCCAAGATGTAAAGCACTGGAACTGCACTCATCACAAGTACAAGGTCCATGAGGAATCAGTTGAGAAATCTGGAGGAATAGACATCACCTGCCCAAATGGCTGACAGTGAAATGAAGCCAGCAGGCATTTCTTTGTCTCTTATCCTTTCTCATCTTTGTTGATGAGATTGCTAATCTCAGAGTCATCCTTCTTGCCTTTGTCTCTTAGACACACATACAGGAACATTCTTCTCTTGAAACATCCTTTGATAAGGAGTAGCTTGTCTACTCCATGCATTTTCTGTAAATAAACTTTCTCTTAAAGTTATATAATTTGCTTTGCAAAGCTTGGACCCCACTTCCCAGGACCCCAAAACATTTCCTCCAACAACCCCCTCCCACTTCTAAAAGAAAATTTAAGTAAAATGAACAAGATCCTGAAATTTCCTGAAATTTAATCTAGCAATTCTGAAGATGCTGAGCCTGTAGACCAACATTTCCTAACCTTTCATCCAGGGACCACTGGTGGTCTACAAAAGTACTGCAGATGGTCTCTGGTGTAGGTACTGATATGTGGCTGAAATCTCAGTGATCCTTGTTGGTTCATTTAGGATGAACCAAAGTTGTCCAGCTGCTCCTATGTGCTGTGACACATGGGAATTACTGTACACTATAAATTCAACTGCCTAGTTCACATTTCATATTTTTGCCTGAGTACATACTTAAGAGAAGTCGGTCTTTGATCCAGAGAAGGATAGGGCATTGTGTAAAGTGATACCATATACAATTCAGTTCTTCACATTTGCCTGGGCCATCTTTATTTCACTATTAATTGTTGTTGGTTTTGTTGTTGTTTTACTCCTGTGTGCACTGCCCAGAGTTGCAATTGTGACTTGTTGTTGTTTAGTCGTTAAGTCGTGTCCGACTCTTCGTGACCCCATGAACCATATTGCGCCAGGCCTTCCTGTC